ACAAGATCTTATTTTTCATCCAATCATGCGAGGAAACCTGCAAGAAATAGACATGGGTCTATTTGCAGAAATACACTCGGTGGACGAAGGATTAAGTATTGCCCTCGCTCTAAAAGCAGAGGATCCCGTGGCGCCATGAGAAACAAACAGAAAAAGAGGGAGAGGGAGAGAGAGAGAGAGAGAGAGAGAGAGAGAGAGAAGAGAAAACTTGAAAACGTATGATTCTACCGAATGTAAAACGACGCGGTGCGTTTGCTTGTCGTCAGGCAGATAAATTATACGAGGAACGTGATAACCGAGAAATGTGTCGGGGCTCTGAAAATCGCTCGGTGTCACGAATTTTCTTCGGGGGGGACACAGCCTCCCTCATCGTATCTTTTCTTATGTACATGTGTGTGCGACAACTCATAAATAAGGGCACTAATCAATAATGCATTCTGAGCACGCGGCGAAGCATGGAAAGGCTCGAACCTTCTCTCCCAATTTCTAGACACTTTTACATAATATTATATCATCATTAATGTCATCTATTTCTATTAATGTAGATTAACTTTATTGTCGGTTTAATTTACTTTTTGTCCTTTTCAAGTTTCTAATGATTATATTGAAAAAAATTATCAAATTTGAATAAATATTTGTTTGAATAGTAAGTAGAAAAAAATGATGCTTAAATTAAGAATTTTTGTACGTAATAAAGGTATGTTTAGTGAATATTTAGTACTATTCAAACAAATGTTTATTAGAATTTAATAAATTTTTTCCTCAAAGTGTAAAAAAAGATAAAAAATAAATTAAATTAAGAGATTAAAGTTCAATCTACAATTGCACTGGTCAGAAATGAGTATAAATAGCGCAGCAAAAATTTTAGGGGTTTCAAGCAACGCGCAAACAGACCCATTATTTTCCACAATTCTCTCTCTATCTCTTTTCTACGTATCTATCTCTTGCCGGCGATTCTCGCGAGTCTGTTCTCGCGGCTTATTTAAAGAGTTTCGCGTGAGAAAGAAATTGTCGAGCCACGAGTTTAGCCACTTTCACACGTCGAGATAAAGCAAATAGAGTCCTCATTCAGATCCTTTGTTTCCATCTTTCCCTTTTTATATTCCCCGTACCTCGCTCGCTGTCGAGATAACTCCTAATTGTTGCAGTTGTAAATCTAAGTGACGACCAGATAAAGAATTAGATAATAAATTATAATAAATTAGATAATAAATTAGATAATGAGCTCGTAAAATTAAAAAAAAAACAAATTATATTTAATAGGGCTCTCGAAAATTAAACAATAATAAATATTAATTAACGGACGGAATGAGAGTATTTACGCGGTATTTGGAGCGTGTGTTATGAAAATTAGACGGTAATTGCTGATGATGGTTTAAAGTAAACTGAAATGTCCAAGAATATTGTATCGACAAGTAACGTAAAAGTATTGTGAACATATTTTATGTATTGCGCTCCAAATATCGCGCTGAAAATGCTCTCATTGCCCGTTAATTAATATTTATTATTGCTCGTAGAATTATTTTGGACAAGTGTGCAATCGCTATCGTCGGCCTCTAAACTCTTTGGAGTGGAATCTAACTCTAAAGAATGAAATCTCATTCTTAAAAATTGACAATTGAACTCAATTATGACATACTTGTCTTTCTTTTGTCACTGTTTATAATTAGATTCCGCTCCAAAGATTTTAGAGAGCAGGTATCCCGTCCTGAGAAAGTACGTTGTTTTCCCTTTCTCTCTCAACGTACATCCGAGACCTTCCGTCCCTTAAGAAACCCTTCTTCCTGCCTAAGTTTACATATATAAAAAATTTTGTTACATTAATTGGAATTCAGGTAGATTCAATCAAAAAAATACAAACCAAACACTCATAATTAAATATGAAATGCATCTCATTCTATTTTAAGCATCGTGCCGAATATGGCAGTCCAATCAAAAGTTGTCTAAAGAGCATGTTCAATCTCTTACTTAATTGAAGATCTCTACTTAAATACTTCGTAATTATCATCGTGGCACTCGTAATACCGGCGCCAACCACTTGAACGCATCACGACAGGCTCGGGGAAAAATGGTGTGTGGTCGCTGATGCCTTGTGGATAATTAATGGCCCCGCGAGAGTTTTCCTGAGCAGCCTCGCGAGCCCTCATAAATAAGACTTAATCAGCGAGTTAAAAGAGAGAAGAGGAACGAAGAGAGGCGAGAGAATACCGACTTTCCGGCAATCGGAGTCGGATCTCTCTCTCTCTTTCTCTCTCTCTCTCTCTCTCTCTCTCTCTCCCTCCGTCTCTCTCACCCTCTCTCTCTCTCTCATCCCTCCCTCTTTCTCATCTCTGTAAAGAATTTATCTCCCTCCTACACACACACACACAGAGAGAGAGAGAGAGAGAGAGAAATTTTCGCACCCCTTTCTCCTCTTCTTTTCTCCAAAGAATTGGTCTCCCTAACACAAATTCTCGCACCCTTCTCTCTTTCATCTTCAAGCGTGACTTTTACAGCTGCCGAAACGAGCGATTTACAAATTCTAAATCCTCCCTTCGAGCGGTCTCGTTAATAGTACGTTCGAGAGTATTTACGATATTGGCTCGCGACCAATTCCTCCGGCAATATCTCGAGAAGTAATATATTGTGGGGCAGAAGATGACAACATTTTTTTTTCTTTTTTCTTAGAATGAAGCAGATCATCATCGTTAAATCGAAATTCGAAACACACTAAATTCTTCACAGAATAAAAATCACGTGCCGAGTCGAAGTAATAGGAAATATTGCGGAACACAAATCTAACAAACAAAATATAATAATAAATTTGTATATTTAATTAATTATTACCATTAATTACTTAATGTTAAATATTTAATGAGAAACGGATTGGATTACTTATTGGCTGCATTCAGCAGAAAAAGTAGCTTTGCAACTGTTGTCAGATTCTTTAATATGATTGATTTGTACATTTAGATCCAATGAGGAACTAAGAGTAAAACCAAACACATATTAAAGAATTTTACAACAATTCCGAAGCTGCTTTTTCTGCTGTACCCAACCGTTGTTTTTGTCTAGTCAAACATCGTGTCGCGAGTGTTTAAGGGGAATTAAGGGGAATTAAGGGGAATTAAATTCAGGAGCATTCGCCTAAAATCATCTTCGTGGTATTTTCAAGTCGTTTCATGGATCGGTTAGATCGGCAATACATGCCGCGGCCGATTTTGTTGGAAGGTCGAATACCATTCCATGACTCAGATCGCTGGTCGTGTTTGTTTATGCGCGACGAGTATCCATCCGGCGGAGTTTCGATTCGCGAAAATCCCTCTGCCAATATATTTACGTGGGCGAATAACGCAGATCTTCCACCGAGGCAAGAATGCTCGTCGCGAAACGCATCTGCATATTCTGCATCCGTAAATACGCGTGAGAGAATTGTGACAGCGTGCGTCGGTCGACTGGGAATTCAACAGTTCCTGTCATTTATGTAATGCACTTTTAAAGCAACCCCGACAAAACGCAGTTTCCGTTTGCTACTCTTTCGTTAACCGTCTCGCGCTCTCATCGATAATTTAGCTCGAGCGCAAGAGCAACTACGATCGCACGAATCATCAGTCACGCCTTACTTTGCGTCGTATATAAATTTTACTTAACGTACTAAGTATATTATTCTAATTATGTTACAAAAGATTATCGTTTATTTATCGTTGCCAATAATTTATTTTAATTAAACATTCATTATTAAGCGATACTTGGAAAAAATTTTCTTTTTTTTTTTCTGTAAATGTATGTGGTAAAAAATATGTCGCTTAGAATAATGGAATTTTTCCGTGTGCATTCGCTACAACAATATCACAATTCAAAAAAGTGTTCAGACATTTAGTAGATATAGATCTAACAATAATTTTGTTGGAACATCGAAGTAATTGCGTGGGAAACTCAAGTATAATGATGAATGCTGCAAAAAGTTTTGCGACAAAGTCTTTTAGAAAGAAAGTGTGAATGATTAAAATTTTGTAACATTAATTATAAGATTAATATATAAGCAATTTGGATGTAATAATTGATTTTAGAATAATGAAAGTATGTTCTTTCTTTTTCCTTTATGTTTCTGTTATTTTTTTAAAGCAACGCCAAAATAACAATCAAAATTTAGTCATGCCATTATGATAAGTGTGCGATGTGTAAAGTGTGAAGATTTTTCGATTTGTCTGCGGAGGGGACAAAACTGGAGCGGCATTCTGGCCATAAAGCGTCATCCCGTACGTCAACATCGGCTTGAATTTAAATCTGTTTACATGTTCTTTTTCGGTCGTCTCGGTTTTGTTCAAGGGTCACGGAAAGGTTCGTTCCCATTGCGGTGTAAACGTAGACAATAGGCGAGCTGTTCTTCGCCGCTCTAAATTTACCGTGAATATAATCTGTAAATCTCGAGGTATAGGTATATATATGTAAGTGTGTAGCACGAATACGTTGACAATGATGACAAAGCGAAACTGAGTCACGATTACGAGCAAGACTCTTGCTCAGCCTTCCGTGTCATTGTTGCAAGAATTCAATTGTAGCCTAAACGAAGAGTTTTGCCCCTCCCCCCCCCCCCCCCGCGCTAATTAATACGCAAGAACTAGAATCTGTTATCCTCCATTTGTTTCACGCGCTTCGATGATAGTGTTGCGTAACGCGCAACATTCCCTATTAGTAATTAATTACATTTTGCCGAGGCGATATTGCCATTACATAGTATGTACTATATTATTACGGGATGCATTAGATTCTGCTAATAACATTAACGTCTTCTCTGGATAAGGATCAAAGACAATTTATCACGTTAACAATTTGCATCTATGTAATAACATTTACACATTTAATATTGTAATTAGAATTCGTTAATGTCCATCGTGACGTAAAATCATCATCCGATTTAGAAGCTATCGCGACGACACGAATTTGCCGATTTCACAACGTTGTCATTTACGTAACGATATATGTACTCATCACGGTGGTTTTTTTTTTCTCTGTTACAGAACATCCGGGGAACAAATCGAGCCTTGGCTTCAGCCTGAGGGGAGGATACCACCGTCACTCCCTGTACTTTCCCGTCGCGGTATCCGGCGACGCGGAGGACGTCACGGTCGATCACGCGTCCCTGAGATTCTTCCTCCAAGGCGATCACAGACGTCCACGCGATCTCGAGGCGCTGGTCTATCTCCGCACGCCGGCCTCCTCCCGGCGTCTCCTGCTGCGGCGCGAGATTCCGCAGGGCGAGCCGACGGGTTCCCGGTGGATGGAATTGGACTCCACCGAAGCGGCCGCGGGCTGGCTCGAGGATGATCTGGAGAACCACGGCCTCGAACTGGAATTCCTTCACGACGGCCGGCCGACGCGGCGCGAGGTCTCCCACGCAACGTTGAACGTGTTCACCACGTCGGAGGTTGGAAGTGGTAGAGGAAAGAGGTCCACTCCCGAGGAACTGATGCCGCTGCACAAGGGCCGGCGCAGCCGGTGCAAGGGTGACAACAACAAGAAATGCTGCCGGCATGAGCTGACGGTGATGTTCAAGGACCTGAAGGGCTTCGAGTTCATCGTATATCCGAAGGGCTTCGACGCCGGCTACTGTAAGGGCCGTTGCCCGCCCCGGTACAATCCGGCACATCATCACGCTCTGCTGCAGAGTCTGCTGTGGAAGGAGGACCGGAAGAGGGTACCTAAGCCGTGCTGCGCACCCAGCAAGCTCGACCAGTTGATGATCGTCTACTTCGACGAGAACCAGTCAACGCAACTGAAGGTGTCCTACTGGAAGAACATCCAAGTGCTGGAGTGCGCCTGCTCGTAAAGAAGAGGAGAGGAGAGGAGAGTGAAACAGTCTACCATGGCCGAGGACTCACCAAAGAATCGTCCGAATTGCGATTCGGTGATGCCATCCACATTCGCGTGTGTGTTGTTAAGATATTAGATACAACTATTAATAAATATACTGATAATGGCGAAAGTAAAAAGAATGTACCGTCGTTCGACTTTAAGATTTTCGTGCACGTCCGCGACCCCTCTAGACTTCCATTATTTCTCTCTTTTCTTTCTTCATACGATTCGGACGATCCAAGGCATCACCGAATACTCAGACCCTGTAAAAGCTCGCCTAGACTCAGGGTCTCGCATCGACTGTGATACTAACGATATTTACTTGTCATTATATTCCTTATTATGTAACGATCGTATTTTATATTAGGACATTCTCACTATATTCAGACCCGGCTAAACGGAAGCGAATCGTTGCGAATCGTCGATAATCGTAAGCAACGATAATCGTAATTACCCTAATAGAAATCCCATATTGGCCAAATGCAAGCTAATTTATTACTGAAAGACAATAATTATAATTATTTATTTGGAGGAGAGAGAGACTAAACAGCAGTGCTTTTAATACTTAAAATAAGTAATTAATTATTGTCTTTCGGTATTAAGGTTGTATTAGATATATAATTTTTATAAACAGTGCCCGAAATTGGGAATTTATACTTTCTATATAAAAATAAATTTTATATATATGTATAATGTATGAAAGTTCAGTAAGGTTAATATTTAAAATATTTAATACAATTTTATAGTTAAAATGTAATTTTTCTCACTTTATCTTAATTATTTTTTAAAAGCATGCCTACTTCTTATTAAAATAATTTTTGATCCTTGAAGTTCCAAATCGCTGCCAAATCTCTTGTATTACTTTCAAATACAATATAGAAAAATCTCTAATTTTTTTCTTTTTAAAAAATGTATGTAATAAATTCTTAATTGGCCAGTATTAATAGATTTCTGTAAGGATACGTCTTCTTGTTTTAACCGGATGAGCATCCCCTCGAAACGCCATAACATCATCTTATAACGCATTTGTTATCCCTCTATCTGTTAATTTATTACAATCACGCTAGGCTTCTGCGAAACGAGCGGATTGATGTCTGATGCTAATGTAACTTTGTGACACAAGCTAAAGTCTTCGCTCTTATCGAACCTGTTTTGTATCGAGGTTTCGTTTAGTTCCTATAGAGTATTACGAATGGATTCTCTGAGTCCCAAATAAATCTCTCGATTTCCCCCCCCCCCTCCCCCCCGTAAGCAGTTTGATACGAATGTGTTACGCTCTCGCAAAAATTCCATTACATATTTTCCACGAGATCTACGTCGATCGATAGCCGCCGCCGCCGCCGCCGCACTGTAATCTCCATGTATGCGTGAGCATTTCGAGTTTTATCTGTGAGATAATAATATTCGTATTTTATCGAAAAAATGTGCATCACATATTTATCGAGCGTACAGCAAAATCGATGAGAAACAAGATCGTTGTTTTTCTAACACGTCCGGTGTATCAAATTGTATAAAAATTTATGATCGCGTTATCGTAAAATTATAATCTAATTAATCACCCAGCGGCACCCTTTTATTATCATTATTCTTGTCCCTCTTATTGTCAACTTATCTGATGATGGAGATCCATTTATAGCGAAGTCTTAAATATATGATCTATCAGTTTTCAATAAAAAGACCTGCTTATTTCTCTTTCATTTCCTACCACTGTGCGTTGATAAATCTAAATAAATTGCAATGTAAGACAAAATTTGGATTGATCTTATACTAAGGAATACCGTCGCTTTTTACAATTGTCTTAATTTTACACCAATTCCTTACTAATAAAGGAATAGAATTGATTAGACTTAGGCTGGGTTGTTCCACCTTTCGGTAAACTTCAACTCACTGTTTTACTCTCTTACTCTCTTATATTCTTACTCTTTTACTCTTTTGTTTATCGAATAAGTAAATTATCACATAGTTTATCTAAGATGGAACAAACCGGCTCTAAATGACTCATTTCAAAGAGTTATAATATTTATTTTTATTGTTGAACTTCGTAAGTAAACAATACATGATGTTCTTTTTATTTTTCTCGTTTTTTTCTTAAATTTCGACAATATATCTAGAATATATTTTAAATTTGTTCTCTATAAATTGGCTCATTTATAACCATATGATCGAATTTCTTTTAAATATAAATTTATTTAATTTATAACTTTTTTTTGTGATTGACTACTGCATCGAGATAAGAGAGAATTGGAATATAAGTCTTTCGTTACATTCCACAAATCGTCAAAATTATTAGAATAACATATTGCTGTAAGAAGTTACACAATCTTAAATACGATTCGAATATCTCGTTATCTTCAAAAGATGCAAATTGATACAAATTCAAATAAAAAGATGCAAATTAAATTCAGCAGCTAAATTTAGGATATTAGGAGAACATGATTTGGAAGAAGTAATGGGCGAGTTCAAGTCAGCAAAGCGACTAGGTCTGCTCGTCGAGCAATTAAACATGATTGGTTGGATCCACAGGTAAGAACCAATCATGCTCATTTGCTTGACAAGCAGATCTAGCCGCTTTGCCGACTTGAACTCGACCGTTTTCTTCTTATTTCGGATGCGGCGCGAATTTCAAAATACATTTTTACAAAATGCGGACAGAATTTTCTCCTTACAATTTTGTATCAATTTCTATCATTAGTAAATCGAGATCTTCGGAAAAGTTAACGAAAATTAAATACAAAATTTACGCTAGTCAATGATTATACATAATTTTCGTTATATACAATTAACACAGAAAGTAGTTTTCAATAAAAAAAAAGTTCTATTCTTTTATCTTCTATTGCTTTACGATTTAACTAAATCATAATTGGAAAAAAATCTTGTCAAATGATTATTTTTAACGAAAATATAAAGAAAATCACGTTTTTTTACAATCTTTCAAATTTTTAACTCCATGTCTTAACAGTTAAAACTGAAATATTTAGAATAACGAAATTAGAGCAAATTCTTATTTAAGTATTAATTTATTAATATTCTATTACTATTATTTATAAAATTGTAATGTTTTATAGATAATAATTTCAAAATTAGATCATACAACTGTTAATCGATGTTTCGAGGCGACGTTGTGATTTTATGAATAGAATGTAATGTAGAAGCTACACTCGACACGAGGGGTTATCTGACCACGACAGCAATAAAATTTTATTAAGCGTAACGCCGCTACTCACCCCGTCCCGAGTTCGAAGGTTACCTTATGTGCATTATGCAACCACACGCACTCATGCTGACACGGAGTCATTACAAAAAATATTATTTTCAAAACAGACTATTTAGTGACCGATAATGATAAAGGAAAGGAAAAGCGATCTTCGCTCTCTCCTCAATAAACACGTAAGTTTCATTCACAAACTGTAATCGCATCATTGATTATAAATCAAACAGAAATAGGTCAGCGACAATATCCGCGTCAATAAATGAAATATTTTACGACAATATCTTGAATACCAAATCTGGATTGAAAATTACATTTACAAAGGTGACGGTTTCGTTTATATTCACAAAGATATATAATATAAATGAAGAATCATAAGTAGTGTGTGAAATATAAGTGAAAGCTTTATCTCCTGGATGTTTTGCCGATTCCTCTTTTGCCAGAGAATAAATGCTTCGGCATTTTATTGCCAATAAAACGATCACCTTCTCCCTTGAGACCTTTCTTGGCTATTTTCTTCTTCTGTGTCTTATAAGTTACGTTTTTCAGCTTCATCTTCATCTACAATAAACGCAAGCAAGGATAAATATATTTCCATTTATTATGTAAATAAATACGCTTTCATAAATTGGAAAATAATTAAAATAAGATATTCAGCTTTTCAATGATCTATATTTTTTAAAGAAGTTGAGCAAATTTAATCTAAATTTAATTGTCTTCATTTTAACATTAATTTTTCTAAAATATAGATCACTGTTGCGCTGAAGCCTTGAAATTTATTTGTTTATTTGTCTCTTACTTCAATGTTTTTAACGCCCATCTCATCCCGCGATGGTCTCGAGACGCTGCGGGCACGCGACTGTGATGCCGATTCCACACGCATGCGTTTCCTAGCAGGTTCTGAGCGCGACCTGGACCGTGCTCTCATTCGTTTAAAGTGCGCCTATAGTTACAATTAATACAGAATATAACATAATATATATAATACTTGATGCAATAGAATTAATAAATTACAATAGAACAGTGAATTGAACATAGTACGATACAGAAAATTATCCTAAACTATCTTCTTGAAAACATTTAAATACTAGCACTCACATTTTCAGTATCTTCCATATTCACACCCAGATCTTCCATCTGCTCCTTCAATCTCGCGACCGATCGATCGCGGGTCTTAGCCGCGGCTGTACGCGGCATAATCGGTTTCGTAGAAGCCTTTAATATTCGCGCCTCGTCCTTCATGACAAACTTCTTCTCACGAATCTGTTTCGCCAACTGTTCGATCTCGCGCATCGTTTCCGATAACTGTGGTATCTTATAATCGTAGAAACCGGCCTCTTCTCTCAATTGCTCTTCCTTTTCGAGTTGATTTAATTTCTGAAAATGGAAAAACGGTATAAAAATATGTTTCGCTTCATGCATTGGCCATCACGCATTGATACAATCAAATTTGTACTGACTTCGAAGATATCAGAGTCTATGTAATCCGCTATATTATGACCCTCCCATATCTCCGGGATAATGTCGTATTTCTGATCTCCTTCAATATCGTAATTCTTCTTCAGATCAAGCACATAATCATCTCCCATCTCCTCTTCTATCTCCCTCTCCAATTTACGCTTTCTTACGGCTTTCTCCGCGGCAGCCTGCCTCTTCTTCAGAACACTCTCCGGTATACATGGGACGCGATTAGGATCTATCCTTTTAGGTTGAGCAATATGCAAACGGTGAAGAAGCCCTTCCACCTATAATCGTTACAAATCGTGCATTACAACTGCATATTTTGCATGCGGATTTTGCGTTAAAAGATCTTTGAATTAATTACCTTTTTAGTCTTGATCTTTTGATCGACTCTGAAGGCTAAAAGTCGCTCGCAAGCTTCCAGTTTCACTTCCATCACGCCAAAATCGGTGATAGTGCTCATTTCTAGCACAGGTATATTCGTATCGTTCTCGAACGGCTTCAGAATAGCCCTCTTCTCTGGAGATAATTCTTCCAAACGTACGATATCCATTTTATTCATGACTATTATTAAAGGCTTGTTCATGAATAAAGGCTTTATGGATTCAAAAAGTTTTACCTACATAAACAAAACAGAGTTTAGAACATTAATGTTAAAAATCACAAGTATTATATTCCACAGCTCACTTGTTCCTCCAAAGTATGACCACATTGCTCCGACAAGTCGCAGAAGTAAAGTACAGCGGCTCGCAAGTGAACGAGAGCAGTTACCGCTTGCATTTCAATAACGTTTCTGTCTTCCAGCGGATGATCCAATATTCCAGGTGTATCTATTACTTGCCATCTCAAGTATTTATAATCAGTATGCCCCACAAACAAAGATTTTGTTGTAAATGCATATGGTTGAACCTCTACATCGGCTCGAGTAATCTAGAATAAATCATATTATGTATTAAATACTATTTGTAGATAAAACAACTATAAAATTATTATTATGTATTATTTACTTTATTAATAAAACTGCTCTTGCCGACATTTGGGAACCCGCATATAATTATCGTACGCGTGTAAGGATCTATACTTGGCAATCGAGCCAAGTGTTGACGGACTTGTTCAAGATATGTTAAATTGGCTGCCTGTTTCTTCATAATTGTGGCCATTCGACCCAGCGCGGCTTTCTTCAGCAGTTTACATCGATATAACGAATCTCCAAACTTTAAAAGACGAACATAATCCTTCGCTACTCTGTAATAAAAAAATATATTTTGTAAGACAATTAGAACAAATCTTGTGAGTTATATGTAAATCATTCTTTTCGTACTTATCAATTAAATGCCTCGCTGTATTTATCTGTCCAAGAGCCAACTTATAATGATCCTTATCATACAGAACGTTCATCAAGTCGGCATAGAATGGATGAACATCATCCAGCTTAGGAAACTCTTGTATTAGCTGGGATAATTTATCGTGAAAATTCTGTTGAGTGAATTTCACCTTTCGCGTGTAGAAACCGCGTATCCTCGTGATTTTATATTGTTTATGAACAACGGTTGGTGTCTTCCGTTGTGTTTTCGACAAAATTATATCAATGAAGTCCTACGTAAAAGAAGATAAAAGTCAGTTTTATGAAAAAATATTGTAATATAAAAATATAAGGAAAAATTAAAAAATAATTTTTATTTATTTTTCACACACACATACACAATACATGTGCACAAAATATATATAAAGTTATTTCTGAATATAATCTCCTAGCTTTAGGAACACATTTTGTATGATAATCAAAGTATTTTGATTCTGGCTGTAAAAAAAGATTTTTGGCAGTTCTCAAAGACATTTATGCATCATTTTCTAAATGATCAAATAATTGAAATTTAACTTCTTTCATATATTCTATAGTCCTGATCTTATTACTTCTGATTTTCATTATTTTTGATTATTAAAGGTCTTGCATGGCTGATGACTAATTTCAATTGTTCTAGAGTTTAGGGTTGATATTCCTAGTAATTTTTTATATTTTTAAGATTGTCTTAAGTATAGTCTTGAGATGTCATAAGTTAACTAGAACTATATTAATATAGTAAAATACTACTTAAGACAGTCTTAGACAAATTTTAGCTGTAGAATTTAGGACTGGTATTTATAGTCGAATCTTATATTTAAGATTGTTGTAAGTTGTCTAAGTTGTCAAATCAATCTTAGCATCTTAAGATATTACTTATATAAAGCGATCTTAAAGTAAGAACCGATTGTAAATACCGATCCAGAAAGTATATACATAGCTTCGAGGGCAGTCAGAAATCTTCTTCATTATATGAAATGTATTACAAAGCTGGATCATATTGAGAAATGATATTGTACATATAATACATACATATTTTGCTAACCTATATATACGATAAATAAAATTCACTTTACTTTCTGATTTTTCCTTGTATTATAATAAATATTGCATTTAATATAATAAATGTTATGACATAAATATATAAAATTACAAATCACAAATGTATGTTAACTAACCTTCGCAGTTGGGACAACCGCAATTTTCTTGAAATTGTACAAAACCATTTTCTTTTAGTTTATTAAATTCCGCGTTAAAGAGACAACGTAACTTTCCTTTCTTTTTTTATGAAATACTTATTTCTTCGAAAAAAAACAAGAGGATATTTCATTTATTCAACCGTTCCTTTGATTTTGAAAACCACGTGTCCCAAAACAGTTTGGGCAATTTGAGGTTATAAATCTTCCAGCGGAAGAGACTAATGTCAAAATGTCCCGCAGCGGAAATGTGATATTTTGCTATTTACGCGGGAAATCATTGCTGAGGCTGAAATTTTTCATTCTAAAAAAATTATGAAAAAATGAATGGAAGAAATATAATCAGAACATTAACGAGACGTCTTATTATCGGGACTAAGTGAGAATATTTCAGAATTTACTTATATGAAGAATTCTAGAAAAGATTAGATAGACTTTCTCAGCACTTTTGAAGTGTTCCAATTTATATAAAAAAATTTTGATTTTCTAAAAAGTTATCTAAATAAAATTTTCTAAAAAAATATATACACAATTCTGAAAAATTCTAAAATTTACATAAAAATTATAAAAAATTATATTTAAAAAGTATAAAATTATATAAAGAAATCTAAGAAAAATTTTCAACGAAATTTTCATTGAATTTGCAAATCTTTACAGTATGAAATTATTACACGCCGTTTCTTGCTAATTATTATGTTTTATTTCCATCAATTCCTCACTATGAAATAATTTATATATTTCACCATGGTCAAATAAGTCAAATTACTCTGATCATTTCGGAATTCAGAGTTTGCTACGCATGCGCCTGATGCGCCTGTATGGAATGGTAGGGAATGAAAGTTCTTTTTCGACGCGTGGATTTTCGTTGCTAAGGTTAGTATGGTTTAGTAAGATTTCGAATCGTGAAATATTATTGCAATCTGTTTCTGATCAAAGAAATTTGACCGATTTCTTTGCTCCGGCATTCAAGTTGAATTTATAATTCGCTGTATCGAGATACGTCTTGCGCGTATTTGCAATAAATAATGTTGTATGTGAGATAACCTAAAAAAAAATCAATCTCCACAGAATGGCTCCGAGATACGAGTTGGCCGTCGGCCTCAATAAGGGCCACAAAACAACGAAGATTCGCGTGTCTAAAATTAAAAATATACCCGCGAAGGAAAGGACCAAGACCGTCTGTGTACGACCATCTAGGATAAAAGGAGTAAGTGGAAAGTGTACCCACAATTCTCTCATTTACCACGTTCAGCAGAATGTTTATTTTACAACTGTTGAAAGTTTTCTTTGCTGATTATTTCTCTAAAAGTATTGATCTAAAAATATAATCCAACAAACACTAAAGAAAACTTTCAATAGTTACAAACATTCTCTTGATCGTAGCCATCGTTATTGTATATATGGCGTATTGATCGAAGAGCTGATACACCATAATTTATTACCAGAAACTTATTTATCTTCTTTTTCTTGTGTTATTATTTATGTGTTATTATTCATCCTTAATTTTTCATTGTAGAGACAAACCAAGCACAGCAAGTTTGTAAGGGATCTGATCCGAGAAGTCACAGGACATGCCCCTTATGAAAAACGTGCTATGGAATTACTGAAGGTGTCAAAGGATAAACGCGCCTTGAAATTCTTGAAGAGAAGAGTAAATGTCTTTTCTTGCAAATTTTAGACAATAGGTTTCAGCAGAACTATAATAGTGTCATATAATTTCATAATGCTCTGAGTTTTGCTTTATGGATTAATGGAATATCGATAGCTGAATAAAAAAATATTTGCTGAAGGATTTAAAGTTAAGAATCTTGTGTCTATGAATTGTGTTAAAAATTGCTCTAAGATCTCGGGTTGTTTTCTAGAAAAAAATCACATTGATCAAATTACTGAATTGTTCAAATGTGACTTGTTAATTCTTTTGTTCAAGAACATAGAATAGTTCTATCACCGTGGACAGAAAGCATAAAAGATCCTAACAATTTCAAAATGTTTAATATTTTCTCCTGTCTTTTATATATACAAAAATCTAACACTGGCCAATAACTGAAAGATAGTAATACATTTCTTATTTTAAGTATTAAAAACTTCATTGTTCTATACTTTTAGTATTTTTTTTTATAAGATGTTTTTTATTTTTTAGTTGGGTACACACATCCGTGCCAAAAGGAAGCGAGAGGAGCTTGGAAATATCCTGGTACAGATGAGGAAAGCAGCTCATCATTAATTATATCCGTTAAAATTGTAAACCAGTATATGTATTTGAATAAATCAATATTTCAATCTCGATACAGATAAGGTATATTATTCAAGAATACTCGATGGTTTTACCAACTTTGATTCAAATAAATTGAGCAAGCACTTGATAGCCCATTTACTCATTTTATTTTCACGACCTATTTTCATCTGACTTAATAGAGAAGCTACATATATTATTCTAACTATCGTTATAAGAGACTTAAATAGTAGAAATAATTTTCAACAATTTTAAAATTAGTTTTTAACAATTCAAAATAATAAGTTGTTTATACATTGCTAGAATTAAATTAATAGCTAATAATAAGAAACGAAATAAAATTTTATTAACTACAGATAAAATTTATTTATTAATATTAAATAAATGTCAATTGTAACAAAGAAATAGATTGAAATACAATCGATATTAATAGTATTTAATATTAACTTTGGAATAATATTCAAAAATGTTAAATACGATTTAAAATTTTACATATCTCTTGTATTGGATATATCTAAACTAAAGAATTTATTACCATCAGTTTCCGTGGTGTAGTGGTTATCACATCCGCCTAACACGCGGAAGGTCCCCAGTTCGATCCCGGGCGGAAACATTTTTTGTCTCAGAAAAAAAACATGATATATTTTTTAATTTTTATCATTATTAATTATTGCAAATGTAAGATATTTACTGAATGTAATCCACCGTTTTATTGAAATGTATCTACGTTTTATTTTGCAAATATTGTTATCAAACAAAATAACAACTAGAGTACGTTCCGATATTCACTGCTGAAACTATACAATATACGTTATGTGTACTATAGATTTTCAGTACTGACAGTAAGTATCGGAACACACCAGTATAGTTACTGATATAATAATTTAATAAGTTTCTTTATAATTCACAATCTGCAGAGATAAAAAAAACCTTTATTTTAATTATAAAAATAAATCTCAATCTAATCAATTTAATAAATTTATTGGTATATATTTTTAGATTAAATTTGATTGTTTCATTAATTGTTATTAATTGTTATTAAAAGTATATCAAAATTAATTAAATTACGTAACTTTAAAACAGAATTGAATAATAATTTTATAATATATATGCATTACATTTATATATTATTTTTTTTGTTACAACGCTTTGAAATGCTTATCATTGTATAAATTTAGCATTCTCCAAGACATTTAGTCTAAGAAGCAAGATGAGAATTGAAACACGTACCTTTCGATACCTTCGAAAAATCGTAAAAGTTATTAGGAAAACATGTTGAAAAGGAAAGACGGAAGGTTACAAGATAAGCGAGTGACAGAGTGATACAAAAATTTAGCTCTTTAATAATTAGACAATGTCGGTAAATCATAAAACGGCTAATAAATTTACTAACTACAATACCAATTATAGATAACATTGCCATCTTATTACCTAAACAGCGCGAAATTTAAATCAAATTTAACTATGCTCCTTGTGACCTCCTCTTGAAAGATGTTCTTCTAATAACTTTTATGCTTTCTTCTAGAGAATCAAAAGATGCATATTCCAATTACATATAATTCAATCTTTTGTTTTACTATTACTGTTTGAAAGAGAGCAGAATGAAAGAGAGCAAGAAACAGAGATAATTTAGAGAAAGTGATCTATGTAATGAATTATCTTTAATCGTAAACTCGTATGTAGATTGTTTAAAAGAAACTAATGACATAGAAGGCTTTTATAATTCCCTATTTCTATCTTAATTCATGTGAATTCATAATTTAGAACTGGAATCTTTGACGTGCGGAAATTTATGATATAAATGACATAATTTTGGCAATTTTACTTTCGTTGTATTATTCAAAAAGAATATAATATATTGATTATATTACAATAGATTCTTAATGACAAAGAAATTTTTTTATAATTTTTCATATAATTATTAATATTCAAGTCTTATCTATTTTGCATGGATAAAAACATCTTATTATACTTTTTACAATTACAAAATGTCATGTATTATTAATAACACACACACACACACACACACATTTATATATATATATATATAGATCTTTTGCTTCCTAATAACTATATAAAATTTTGGATAATAGAATTTCCACTTATTAGAAATGTCATACAAATACTGATAATTTAAAAAAATCTAAGAACTTTTTAATATAAAATATATAGTATAGATACAATTATATGTAAAATATATATGTT